CCTTTGGCCAAGGTGGGGCTACTTTTACTAGTCAGTTGCTATTTTTCCAAGGCTGGGATCTATGCCTACCTAAAAAAAGAACTTTGCTGAAATTAATAATAAAGGAACCCAACTACTAATGTGACCTCTGGGGAGGTTGACCAACTCCTCCTGGCTTGCCTGGGACTCCCCCAGTTTTAGTGCTGAAAAGCTCCTTGTCCGAGGACATCCTTGGTCTCAGGCAAACCAGGACGGGTGCTCACCCCGCCTCCAGGGTCCCCCTTGGTCTGACCCTGACTCTTCCCTATTCTCTCACCTCTTCCTCTGGCTCCAAGATGACTGGCGGCCCTCAGTTCCTCCATCAGGGCTCACTCTTGCCCCCCGGCCTGCCTTTGCCCACCCTCTTCCCTCATCGGGAATACCCTTCACTTACTCATTCTCCAGCTCTCAACTCAAACGTCACTTCCTGGGGCCAAGCTTCTCTGACCCAATCCCAACCCCCAGGCTTGGTCAAATCCCTGCTACACTCTCTCACAGCACACGGTGTCCTTTTCCTTCACAGCACTCATCAGTTTACACAACTGTGTTTGTGTTTGATTAGTGTCTGTCTCCCTATGCAGGTAAATGTCTCAAGGACTGGGACGGTGTCTGTTTTCTCTCTGCTTTCTTGGTCCCTAGAAACATGGTAGATAGTTAATAAATACTTTTGAATAAATAAAATGAATCGATGTAGTCAGAATCCAGTCCACAGGTCTCCACGACAGAGACTGCCGGCCAACCCCAGTATCTGTTCTCTCTTCTTCCACAGGAGTAGAATCCTGACTTTGGCTGGATACCTAGCTACTCAGAATAAAGGCTACATTCCACCTTCCCTACGTGCTGGGTATAGCCATGTAAGTGAATTCTGGCCAAGAAGTGCTATGTGCAGTTTTCAAAAGGTTCTGTTGAGAGGGGTGTGTACTCCTTGCCCTCCCTCCTCCCTACTAGCTGGAATGTAGGTGTGATAACTGACACTCAGCAGCCATCTTGGACCTGGAAGTACCTGTGGGCGTGAAACCCATGCAGGGTGGAAACAAAGTGGAAGGAGCCTGGGCCTCTGACACTATGGAGCCCATTCCAGCCCTGGGGAGCCAAGTCTGAGCTTTGCCATAAAAGAAATAAACTTAATTCACTCATTTGGGGCTGTTCTGTTATTCCACCATACCTAATCCTGCCTAACAGCCTCTCTCTTGCTGGTCCCTTCTGACTTCTAACATGCATGTCAGAAAAGGTGTGGGAATTCCCTGGCGGTCCAGTGGTTAGGACTCCACACTCCCACTGCAGGGGGCACGGGTTCAATCCCTGGTTGGGGAACTAAGATCCCACAAGCCGTGCGGCGTGGCAAAAAAACAAAAAAGCAAAGAAAAAAGAAAAAAAAGAAATGGTGAGCCACCACTCTGTTTTCCCCTCCCTTAAATACACTCATGTAAATATAAAACAGGAAGTGAGGCTGTGAAGCGGTCACCTCGTGGGATGGCTTCAGGGTAGTGGAATGAGCAGGCCCCAGGGAGTCAGGAACTCAACTCCAGGTCTGGTCCTAGACAGTCGAGCAACCTGGACCTCAGCTTCCTCCCCTATAAACAAACACAAGGAGGCCTGGCCACTCACTGCCATTCTCCTCCAAATGCCTCTTTATGTTAACATGTTTCAGAGTTATGCTAGTGGAATGCTCACGCTGTGGCACAGGCACAGGATTTTAAGTAGTTGTGAAACAACTGAGGTTCAACTAAACTCGAAACACTACTCAAAACTTGCACTACAGGAAAGATGCCTGAGCGTGTACAGAAGACACATGAGACCTCGACAAATGCCAGCAAATTCTTCACCCCGAGACACGCATGCTTAGGTCTGCAGGTCCGTTACACCAGCTGAACTGAAAGCTGAGTTTTGATAAAGAGCCTTTTCCGCAAGGGCTTGCGTGGAACCCCAGTTTCTAAATGACAGCAAGAGATAAAAGAGGAAGATTGAGGAGTGTGGGGGAGCAGGGAGGGAAAGGAGAATTGTACCTTCACATGTTAGAGGCTCCAAACTTTGAATGAATCCATGAGGTATATGTGGGAGAAGATGCTGGAATATCCAAGCATGAGGACCAGTGCAGTACAAGGTAGGTCTATAAGCAGTGGCCATACCAGTCCTCTGTCATGACCATCAGCTGAGTATCCCAAACTGAGCTTAACAAATGTTTAAGAAACAAAAGAGAGGGATACACCGTGGATAAAACTGATCTAATAAACTCTCAGTTTAAGTGATTTTTCTCTTTCTTTCAGATTTCAGAGGAAGGAATCGATGCACCCGAGGCTTGCCCTGCTTCAGGTGCAAAACTGAGGGACCCAACATTTATATTAATAATTCGATTGGCTACGTTTGCATTTCAAGGTGCGAGGCCAGCCTTAGCTAAGAACTGAACTCCCAGTTCATTTGTTAAATACCAAGTAAAATGACACAGAGCTGATCGGGTCCGCCACTCAGCCCTTCACATCTGGATGATGACTGACTGTCCTCGCCCACGCCGGCCTGGCTGGCCATCTCTTCCACTTCCCGTCCTCTCAGCCATTCTGCTTCTTCCACAGCATTTCGACCTATCGTGGCAGGCGATTTGGAAGACGCAGAGCATCCAGTTTTCCTGTCACTTCAGAGATCTCACAGCAAAGTTGAGGCCTTCTTGTCGCAGATCAACAAACACACCCACGATGTGCCTGGTGTCACTCTAAGACCCAGGGAAAGGTTCTCTCTTGACGCTCCGGGGAACCCTCTCTGCCCCGGCTTAGGGGAGAGACACACAAGGTTCAAAGCCCGCGCCCCTGCCCACCTCCGCTCCTGAGCCACTTGGGAACGGGCCTGTGCCCACGAGGCCCTCCAAGCCTGGGGGGAACAGGAGCTCAGGTCCACTGTATGGGCACACGAGAAGGCAGGATATTTTTTTTTTAGTGAAAAAGACAGCTGTATGTGATCTACATTTAACAAGATTTACAGAAAGGGGTAGGCGTGGTCCTGCGCTCCTGGCCCCCCCCAGATCTGGGCAGTGCCTCCAGGACAGCCTGTCTGACAGGCTGAGACCGGGACCCCCAGGTCTTCTGGGTCCCTTCTGGCCGCCTGGGCCTCAGCGTCTGACAACCAGCTTGACCTCTGAGGTGGGCCCACGGCACGGAGCCCACCCGGAGTGTGGGCGCCCCGCAGGCCAGGCCAGGTCGGGAAGGCATCTTGTGGCTCTGGGGGCCGCAGGCACTCAGACCCCACCCAAGAGGCCAAACCCAGGTATCTGGGCAGCTGCCAGTGCTCAGGGAAGTGGGCTGGGATTCTGCTTCTAAGTTGGGAGAGGACTCTTGAGAAGCTAACTTCCAATTATCGATACATTATTACTCCCTCTGCCAGAAGACTAACCCTAACTAATATTCAATAAAAATCAATAACACTGGCAAGCAGAGAAAGAGCTAATAAGGTGTTTTAAATTACTATGTATCTAACATCCAACAGTTCCACGTAAACTCAGAGTCACCTGGTTAAATCAACAATGAAAGACTTACTATTAAATTCTTAATTCAGAGGTTTATTGAGCATAGCATCTTACGTGCTACAGTTTCTGGGATTGTTGTTTATTGCCTGGGAATCCCAGCAACAGTACTAACAGACAAGGGTCCTTAGTCTCCTAGAAATGAACATAAACATTACCCTCTTATTTTAAACATGATGGCACCTGTCTATTCCGGCTCAGTTAAATGAAAAAGTAGAAAAATAGAGTATGACTAGAACAAAAGATCACTGGAAAAAATGAGTGTATAAACAAAAACTTCTCCCTGTTGACTTATTGTAAAGTGACATTTAAGTGTTCTTCCATTCAATTAATTACAAATCAATAAATGTGTATATGACCTCCGTCCTGAGAACAGATTGTCCTAAGTAACTGAACGTGGACCAGAGGATTCAAATGGCAGGAGAGAAAGGTCAGATACACTAGTCCATTAACTCCTTTAAATGGTACATAGAGACTTCAGAGCCACGTATAAAGAAACACACGTGTAGGAAGTTTTAGCTCGATAACGATGACTTTTTCTCCCGCACACAGACCTGTGAGTTCCCTTGAGCAACAACAATGGTATTAAGTTGATAAGCCAACTTTACTTTAGAACAGCTTAACTGTGATGAGGTACCCTTGGAACCTAGAGTGCTCCCAGGTATAAGCCTGACTGTTTTAGGAGACAGAAGTGGGCGATGGTTAAGAACACGCTGCGGGAGAAGCCAGGCTGCCAGGGCTTGAATCCCGGCGCCATTTACTAGCTGGAAACTCTGAGGAAATGCCGTGACCATTCCGAGCATCACAGGACGGTGGTTGTAGAGATTACATACGACTACGTATGGGCAGTGTCTCCACGTCCAGCACCGTGAAGAGAACTCCAATACCCACTGTTACTGTGGCAGGGACAACGCTGGGGTCTGCAGACACATAGGACAGCACCCACCCGCTCCGGGGAGCCAGGTGAAAGGTCACTTTCAAATTCAGTCATTGTGCCAATCAAGAATTTCTACTTAGCTAAAACACATGGTGCCAAAACTTACATTTTATTTGCTATTTAATCCATCTCACAGAAACGTAAGAGTAGAAGTTTAAAAGTGACAAGCAGGCTGGCAAAAAATAGCAACTGTGGACCACTTGGTTGTAAGCATTCTCTCGTAGGCTCTGGTGAGGGCATGTGTTTTCAATTGCAGTGTTGGTTTTCCTTTTCCTAAGCCCTCAAACTATTTTTTAAGAAAGGAAAATGTTTCCCTTTAGGCTGGAGCTGAGGAAAGAATTCTCTGCCGGCACACTGACAATTACAATTCCTGACAATTACATCAAGCCCAGAGTAGATACCCTTCAGAGCCCCCCAGCCAGCTTTTCCCAGCTGTGCCCCACCTCCGCTTCCAGCTTTGCTCTGCCGAAACAACACAGGGAGAAGGGAAGAAAATCACATATGAAAACGTTCAGATGGATACACCCCCAGGAAATATTTGGCTAATTCTATAAGAATCCAAGGTGCAGAAAGGTTGAAAATGAGTTCATTCTCCAAACTTTTGAGAGTGGGAGATACGTCAATCACAGAATTCTAGACTGGGAGGGGCCTTATGGATCAGCTAGCCCAGTGCCCTCATTTTATGCACCAGGACCCAGAAGCTTCGAGGCCCGCAGTCCTGGGCAAAAGGATGTCTAGAACTCATGTCTTGTCTCCTAGAACCGGGCTGTTTTCACCACGCCCGACACTTTGCTGTGTGAATCAAAAGCTCCTGCTGGGACCAAGAATCCGGACTAAGAAGCAGCCCCAGGAACTTCCCATTGACGCTGGGTCACCTGGAACAGGCGTGCTTCCCAAATTCACCAGTGGGCTCTCACCCCCCGGGTGGCTTCCAGGGAAATACACAATCGGAAATGTGCTCCAAGCTGAGAAGCAGCTCATCTTCCTCAGACCTGGGGCTGAAAGCATGGGAAGAAAAGCACCCTTCACTCGTCCGGTGAGGGCCCCGCTACGCACGCAGAGGGCAGAGACACCGCGACACAGGTGGCGCGCGGCGACCCCGGCCACCTGTGCCACATACTGTGCTGCCGCTCCTGTCCCTGGTGACATTTTTGTTTCAAAAGCCAGAGTTTTCTCTGTTGCTCATCGAGTCTCGACTGCTGCGAAGGTGTGGGCCACATCCTCTGCCAGCAAAGCGCGAAACCCGTCAACTTCCCTCCGACAACAATCAAGGGCTCGGAGGGGTCACCGAGAAGGGGACACCGGCGCTCGTGGGCGCCAGGGCCCGACCCCAGCCTCTGCCGGGGCACCTCACCCCGCCGCAACGCATCTTAGCCCGCAGGACCCGCTTTCTCTTTCTAGGAACCCGCCTGCTCTGCCTCGGAGGGTCGCTCGCCGCCTCGGCCCGCAGTTCCTCACTGAGGGGCGACCCCCGCCCCCGACGGTCCCCCCAAACACTGCAGCCTGTCCCCCTCCCCGCCCCGGGCAGGGCGCCCAGGACCTCCCACCCCTGGGATGGCGGGCCCCGAACCTTCCAACCCAGGGCTGCGCCGACGGCCGGCGGGGGAGAGCGCTTCCCGGGCGCCCGCGGCCCCCGCCCCGCCCCCCC